ACCTATCTAGAATCAATTCTACTTGATTTCCGATGGCCATTAAAAGCAATCTATTGCATCACTAAGAGTCTATTGAATGTATTAATGTCTAAAATAATTAGATACATTAGTTAATTGGGTCATTAAGATAACCTGTCAAATGATTTAGAGTCAATAATTCTTGCTCCATTGTAAAAATGAGCAATATAATTAATTATACACCAGACAATCCAAATGATATGTAGACACGGCCTATAGAGAAGATGATAGTGATGGTGAAACTGGTTAGAATCCAGGAATATGTACATAAGAATTTTTGTTAATATTAACACTGCTAACCTCACAGTTCTTGCCTGGGCATTCTCAGTGGCTAGGAAAGGAATATGGGGATGGTTCTTTGACATCAGCAATGAGAAACACTGACTCCTTATACTAGTAGTGACAATATTTGAGCAACACTTCATAAATATTTTTCATTAGAGCAAAGTATTTGGGGATGAGATGCTTTTAAACAATTTTAGATTCCATTTCTCAAAATTACTGCTTAATAGAGTGAAACAATATTCCTTTAAAAATGTCTGTAAAGTTTTCATGTCAATACTTTCTAAAGTACAAAACTTGGGCTTTGAGTGCAGTTTGCTATTTTCTTCTGTCAGCTTATAAATCAAAGCATTAATGTAGCATAAAAAAATTCTTTTCCTAAAAGCCCCTATGGAATCCACCCTGACATTGTTAAACTCCTGGTTCTGTTGTCCTCCCAGTCAGTGCTATGGCCACACCTAAAGGTGTCACCTGTGAATTAGCACCAGTGAACAGTTGAGTCAAAATAAGTGACTTAAGCGTGAGGGGAGCCTTTCTTTTAAATTCATATGTACTGCGACTGCATGGATTTTCACTAGAGTTCATGCTGCAATAAAGAATCTAATTCACAAACTACTCTCTGGTTAACTCAAAAGTTCTAGCCATTGTTATTATGTAGATATTGCTTCTCTAACATAGGATATGATAGTAGTGAGTGAAAGCCTGACCCTTTTACTCAAATTAGAGTCAGTTTACATCCATTAGAGCAGTGGTTCTCAACCTCCCTAATGCCGCGACCCTTTAATACAGTTCCTCATGTTGTAGTGACCCCCAACCATAAAATTATTTTTGTTGCTACTTCATAACTGTAATTTTGCTACTGTTATGAATCGTAATGTAAATATCTGATATGCAGGATGTATTTTCATTGTTACAAATTGAACATAATTAAAGCATAGTGATTAATCACAAAAACAATATGTATGTAATTATATATGTGTTTTCCGATGGTCTTAGGCGACCCCTGTGAAAGGGTCGTTCGACCCCCAAAGGGGTTGTAGGCTGCTGCATTAGAGGAAATCCTTTATGCTCAGTGAATATTCATAGAAAACTTATGGAACTCTTTGAACAAGCTCATTTACTTACAGATTCGATTTATTATGCACCTCAGAGAAGAGTACTTCAAATCAGTTAATTTCTACTAAATGAAGTGAAGCTCCAATTAATAGCATGAATTTTAAAAACAAAAAAAAATGTGGTGTTATTTTAAGTGAGCTAATTTCTCACACTGCCTTCAAACTCTTCCCCCATCCTTGACCAGAGTGATTAAATCCTAGAGGATTTTTTTGAAATCAGAAAATGAGAAACTGAGCCACTGTCCTAAGTATTCTTTTCAGAACAGAAAAATCGTACGATATGAATATGCTCTAGATCAGTGGCTTTTAAAAACAAAATGTTGAATGATTGCATGTTTTTAACATGGAGATAGTGTTCCGATGTATTTCCCATAGGCTGTGTTTGCACATATTTCTGTTTCAGACACAGTGAACTCATGGAAGCAAACACATTCTCTATTCAAAAGCGTCCAGTTATCCAATAAAGATACGTTAGTTGCTCAGTACTAGCCAGCTTGCCCAGTGAGGACTTGTGTGTTCTGATTATAATTTAACATCTTCCTTTCTAGAGGTAAAATTTCATATGAAAATTAGAGAATAAATTCAGAGAAAGTTGAAGAGCACTTCCCTGCCTGCCCCACTCCTTTTCGGCCCTCCTAACACAGCTGTAGTGAGAAATCTGGGGAAGAATGCAGTGTGACCCACTCAGCCGATCTGATGCAATGCACTTGCCCTTTAATTAAGGCAGCAGGCTGAATCATCTTTCAATCGGAAAAATGTGCTACTTGGGGAGTATGTACGGGAACTAACACTACAGGATTGAAGCCACTCTCATTTTCATCTCTAAAATGCTTTTCAGGTAGTTAGAGCCTGGCTTATGCTAAAGTTTCAGCACTGTTCACGCTAAGCAGCATTCAAATGCTGAAGCGGAGAGCAAGTGTTCCCCAGTAGATAAACCAGCACCCACCAGAGGGAGGGCGCACCCCTCATTCTGTTGTGCCTTCCCATGAATTCCTCTCAGTTGCTCACTTTGTGTTATCCCAGCCAACACAGGAGATGCCAGGCGCCTTGCCATTGGCCACCAGCGTGGTTATACTACCTTCCCTCATCAGCAGCCAATTGATGCCTGTGAGACGCAAGCTCACTTCATCTAAGGGACAGTAAAATATAAGGAGGCTGCTAAAACTAAATCATTTCCAATGAACTGTTTTGAAGTTCTCATCTATTTATTTGCTTTCTGCATGCCAGGGAAAATGTGGCCCACTCCAAAAGGATGCATCTTCAGTCTGTGGATAACTCATTCTGAATCCAAAACAATTTTAGAAAAGTTGTGAAACTCATGTGGCAGGCTGAAGCACTCTACCTACTTCATGCTCAAAATACTTCATCAGGCTACATGTTATGGATTATTAATTTAAAAGACAGTGTTTTATACTTGGAAACTGAAAATTTCAAGGAATTGTTTCAATTTTAAGATAATTTTTATTGCATTTGTTTCTACTCTGAAATATTTTTATTAACTTTACTTATGGTACTTATTGGAAAGCTCATTATTGGTAAAGAAAATTAAATGATAAATTTTAGCCAAGTCTTTTTTGAAGTCATTACAGAATTTGAAGTAAAAGCCAAAAAAAAAATAGCTTTATGAGCAAGACCTCATACCTATTTTGTAATATTCTATAAAGGAACAGTAACTAAAGTTTGAAGACCTAATTTCTTTTAGTGGAGGAGAGAGTAGGTTTTGTTTGTTTCAGTAGTTTCTTTTAGTAAGTTGCACAATGTGCTTCATTTGCATAAAGAAAGAAAAATATGGTATCCTTCCTTCCTTTGGCCAACTATTAAGTCCCTCTATTTGAAGACACCCGTGCTACAAACATTGCACATAAAATACCTGTAACAATATTTTACACAATGAATATACATGCATATCAGACTTCAAATTCAACTCAATGCAGATAATGAATCACATTACTCAAAACAAAATAACACTAGAGATTCAACCATAAGTACTCAAACCCATTGTTAGTTAAAAAATTAAAATCATAATTCAAAACTTAAGATAAGGTTACACCATTGGGGTAAAAAATAAAGTATATATGGTTAAAACAAGACTGTGAGGACTACTAGACTACAGCAAACAAACCACAACACAACTGATTTGCTTGATAAATGGTTGTACACAGTTGGTTACCTTAAGAGAATGTACCACGGGTTCAGGCTGCTGAGAAGGTGTGGTATGTCCACTGAAGCTAGCTGGAGAGTTGGGTGAACTGTTATTCCCATCAGCCCCTGATGACAACCTAAAAGAACCCTTAGTAGAAAATCAACAACTTTGTTATTAAAACAAAAGTCGTTTATAACTGCACAGATGTCATTCAATTTCACTGCCAAATGAGA